AAAGGCCAAAAGCAAACAAGCAACAGACCCTCACTGCCAAGCTGGCCTCAGTGCTGGGGGCCAACCTGCTGGAAAGCAGCAGTGGTGAAGGACTGTCCATGAGCCAGCAGTGTGCCCTTGTGGCCAAGAAGGCCAACAGAACTTTGGGATGCGTTAGGAAAACCACTGCCAGCAGGACAAGGGAGGGGATCCTGCCCCTACATTCAGCCCTGTTGAGGCCACATCCGGAGTTCCAGGCTCCCCAGTACAGAAGAGACATGGAGCCCCTGGAGCTGGTCCAGCAGAGGGAAACAAGGATACTTAGAGGTCTGGAACATCTTTCTTGTGAGTGCAGTCTATCCCATTTGAGATATTCAAGAACTTCCTGGACACAATCCTGTGTCATGTGCTGCAGCACGACCCTGACTGAGCAGGGAAGCTGGACATGATGTCCCACTTCCACCTGAACCTGTGATTCTGCAATCTTTCTACAGGCTACCAGTGAACCCTGGGTGTATTTAACCTGGGCAGGATGAACTTGCCACCTCAGGAAGCTGTTCTCACAGCCACCTGAGGAGCCTTGAGCACCAAATGTAGAAGGGCTGCCCCTTTTCCCTTGGGTATGTCCAAGTTGCAATCCAAATTTGTTTCTTATGGTATCCATCATGCACATGACGACTCCAAAGTTAAGTGTATGCTTGAGAATTTCCACATCCTCATGAGCCTTAGGAAATTAAGTTCCTTAGAACTCAACCCAGCTGTATTTTGGACAACCAGAAGTTTCCCACTGGCCCCAGTCAGGACTGAACTGACAGTGAAGTTTTCTGCCAAGACAAGCACTTCCTTTAACAGTGGGTGGGTAACCTGGAAGCTTTCAATCATGGGAAACAACTGGAAGTTGTAATGCTGTAAGTGTCCCCAGGAATTTGCTTAGAAAAAGGAAGCTGAGGATACAAAAACAATTTCTTTGTTCAAGTCTTCAAGTACCATAACACATGCTTGCAATATTTAATCTCACTTTTTCCAGCAAAGTACTTTTATAAGTCTTTTTTTAATATATACAATCTGTCTGGTAGCTTCTGCACTTTCTGTCTCACTAAATGCCCTTTTGTCCTATTAAAATGCATAAAAAATATATCCTGTTCTGAGCTATTGACCCATCTCATGGTAGGGCACATCTGTGAGTTGGAAAGCATTACACCCCACTGCTTTTGTGGTGATATCTGGCTCTCACGGAGATGTGGCTTCTGCCCACTCATCTTTCCTTGAAATGATGCATGCATGTTAAAGGGCAATATTACAGAAAAATATTATAACATCCTGGACAAACTGCAGCTAGAAACTTAAAAAATCATATGAAGGATGTGTAGCCTAACATTGTTCCTGTGGCACACATTTTCTCAGATGCAGCTTCTGAGAAAATCCAACACTATATTGATCACACTTTTACATGGCCTACCCCCTATCCTGCATTAAGCAAACAAATAAAGAAAGCACCTAGAGCTGCCTTGAAAACTGGGGTTAAAGAAGAAAGCAAAATTTTTGACAGAAAATTTGGTGACAAATTAACAACAAATATTAAATATTAAAATATTCCATATCTCACTGAAAACATGGCAGCATAATATCAGTATGCTGGGGGCCTTTAAGCTCTTATCACCCCCTTTAGGCAGAGTTCTCTGGCTAAACACATTTTCCAGGGCACAACACAGCCTCCCTACCTGGAGAGGAGATCTGTTTCATTTCAACAGCCAGAGTGTGCCATTTCATCAGGAAATTTGAACACAAACTTCCAAGTACACTTCTGTCCCAAAACTAATTTATTCTGACTACTGGCATTCTATTTTTCCATAGCTAGCAACATGTAGAATAGTAGATAAACAGACAAGCATGTAGACAGGCAGACCGATAGGCAGATTTTGTACCAAAGACAAGCATCTTCTCATGCACTGCTTGAAAATATAGTTTTCAAAGACCTATTAAAAAACCTGATTCTGACAGAATAACCAAACATTGAAATTGGTGGCAATTAAAAGTCAAATTGCAATGTACAGAATCATAAGCCACTTACAGCTCCATGGTTCTGGCATAAAGAGACATCTGTCTCTTTATGATGAAATTAGGAAATGCACTGTAAGTTCAAGTCACGGTCCTGCAAGGCTAAGAGGAAGCTGGATGTTGTTTTCCACAGAAGTGGCAGATGTGCCTGAATTCATAGTCCTCAATTTGATATGGAAAGTCTTGCTAGGGAAAGGTTTTTCTGATCCACATTAACAATAAAAAAAATGGTGTGCCACAGGCCATTCTCCTTGGCTAATTACACTGATAGTTGAGTCCTATTGTGACATTTTCACAGGACATGTTTGAACTCTATATTACATTGTTATCATGTCTCTACAGTTTTTAGATCAGCTGGACAGCTTGGAGGAGTGAAACAAGTAGTCATTTAACCTGTACCCATTCAGAAAGTGAAGTCCTTGAAAGATTCAGCTTCTCATTCCTGGATGTTTTATGCAGGCAACCTCTGAAGTGATGCAGAATAAATTATGTGGAAAGAAAGGATAATTTCACTTCAGAGCTCAAACTCTCAGCTAATGGGAATAAGTCCTTTTTTCTTGTCTCTTTAATTCGTATTTTGAAAATGTAATTATTGTCTGGGAAATCTGACTCCCGTTAGCCACCTGCCAAGTACTGACTCACATCTGTGTACAAGATGTTCCCAGCTGTTGTGCATGTATTTTTATCTATTTGCAAAATGTATCCCACTGGCCACTTTCTAGAGGCAAAGAAAGAAAAGGGAAAGGACCCCAGCATAATCAAAAGGTCAGCTTTTGGGGGCTGGGGGCTCTTTCCCTCTTACTTGCTCCTGTTTGCATCTTTCCTCTTTTGATGTCTTTTGACAGAACTGCTCTATATGGCTCAGAAGCAATCATGAACTCTCAAGCAACCACTAAGAAAAGGCAAATCTCCAGTCCCTGTTTTTGATAAGATGCTGATGAGCTAGTCTACAGGGAATATATGTTATCTTGATAACAAGCTGGGTAAAATGGTTTAGTTGCCATTCCTGAATTACCCGGTTAGAGCATTTCTCTAATGATGACAGCATTCAAATGCAGTATCAGCCGTGCATTGATGTCATTTTCCAGCACCTTCAGTGACATTTGGGCACTCCTGAAATTAATTTTAGCTCTTCCACATGTGTGCGTGTGTGTGTGTGTGTGTGTGTGTGTGTGTGTGTGTGTGTGTGTACATACTGACTAAGAACCAGGAAGAAAGAGAGACTTGCTCTTTACAAAGTATATGGGTCCTGAAAAGGCCTTACTGCTAATAAACACTAAGTATCACTTATAATCAATCACTAGACTGTCGTTGCACTCAAATTTGGTTCAATCTCCCATCAAGACATTTAATGTTGGAGGGATACCCTGAGGGGAAGAGGAGCGTTCAGGCAGAGGAGCACTGTCGGGTGCAAATGGAGCACGTCAGTCATTGCACGCAGAACCTTGACATCTACCAATGGATACGAGTCCAGCAACTGCTCTTTAATTCTACACTAGTGCATCAGTAATTTATGCAGACTAGGAAAGAAATTCCTGTAGGAGTTGCAATTTATTTCCTGTTAGTCTGCTGCTGACTTCCTGCTGGCTGTTCTTGCAGTATAGCACTCAAGGAAACCTGAAATTACACTGTCAAGACTTGCAGCCTTCAATCTGATGAGCTGCAAAAGACCCTGGAATTTTTGTAAGCTGGAAATAGCTGGAAACTTTTATTAAGACCGTCTGGGACAGCACCTCTGATCTCCCTGATGTTAATTGGTACCCATCTGGATATTCATCAGAAATGTGATGGGACAATATGGTTGTGACTGTTGAAAAAGCAATTGCTATGTAAATAAGACTGTCCAAATCGCTTAATGAATACAGTCCTTGGTTCTCAATATCCCTCTTCAAAATGGTACAGACCAACAGGATGAACCCAAGCACTGTTGAAAAAAGGCTAAAGTCCCTTCTGCTAAATTCTATTAAGTCCTGTAGGTTTGATGTTTTAGAGTGACTCAAAGGAGATTTCTTCAGAGTAATGCAGTATGGTAGCAAAGATAGGGTGTACTTGGGTAGGGTAGGTTTGTTCACAAGAAGTAGATGCACTCATCTCCCTGTCTTTCTTCCTTGTCCCATGGTGGCCAACTGTGCCTGAGGGAAAGTACAAGGACAAGATAGGCACCGAATGATGCATTAATCTGGAAGAAATGGCTGCAGTTTCCTCGCTATAGGTCAGCATTGCCTAACTTTTTCAGTGAGTATTTGGTTTTGAAATCCAGACTTCTTAAATGATTCAAGGGATGGAATGCTGAAAGCAGAAAAGAATGGAAAAATCAGAGAAAACAAAATCTGCTGTCTCCTGAAGAGCAACTTGAGACTCTGGCTGTTACTTCATCCACTGAATCCATTTGGCAGAAGTCAACCGCATAATATCTCCACAGCACATGCAACTGATTCAAAGCACCCTCTGGTTGCTCTCATGCTGTGTTCTACAGAGTGCAGAGTGTATTCTTTACTGTCTCCTATCCTGATCACCTTCAACCATAGCTATTTCTTTAGGAGAAGTACAGAAAATAGTCAAAAGCCTTCCTACCAACAAACAAAATAAATTCCTATTAAGTAAAGAGTAACGTATAGATTTTGCTTCCATAAAACCAAACACCTTTGTTTAGGCATCTGTATCTGAAAGGGGTATATGCTAGGACTGGGCAAGAAAAGAAAGTTAAATGTGAAATTTTCCACAGTAAATAATATCACAGGTACAAAGCTCCAGTGAGCTTTCTACCTGTGACAGCTTTGTGAGACTGACAAACATTATCAACCAAGATAATGATGCTTGAAACTCTGTATCATTATAATGACAGCAATAGTCTTATTTGTTGGGATTTTCTTAGATTCCTGAGTACAACTGACATGACCTCAGGGAACTACTCCAGGATGTCAGTAATCATCTCATTGCCTTCTGGAACAGCTTGAACTTACCATGCAAGTCTTGCAGTGCCAATCATCAGCAGTTCCAGATTTACCACACTGGCAAGCCAGATTTTGGCAGCAGCTGCAGGGGCAACATGGCTGGAGCTGCTCCTGTGTGCCTTGAAGATAAAAAAAGAACACCCTATCTGACTCACTGAGTTAATACCTATCAGCTCTGCCAACACTGTTTTCAGTGTCTGGGAAGCTGATATAGTAAATTTCTGCCCATATTGGTAATGGCAGTGATTCACTGAAGCACTTGGAAAGATGTTTAAGATCATGTAACAGGCTTAAGATTTCTCTACCTGGCAAAAGAAATAGGGATTTAAACTATCATAAATTCTCCCTGAAATTTTTTTTTTGCATTTATTTTCTTTTCCAATTTTAGCTGGCCTTCTGTTCTCAACCACATCTTTCTTTCTTTCTTTCTTTCTTTCTTTCTTTCTTTCTTTCTTTCTTTCTTTCTTTCTTTCTTTCTTTCTTTCTTTCTTTCTTTCTTTCTTTCTTT